CAAGAGGTTTCATCCTTCATCAGTTTCTTTCTTCTGTTGATCATAAAATAAGTTCATTTGGAAAATGTTGGACACCTGTAACCATTGATGTTCATAGTAGGAAAAACAAATATGATGGATGTCAGTGGTTATATGTTTCACACATATTTCAAAATATCTTCTTTTGTGTTGAACAGAAGAAAGAAACTCTCTGATTTCTGACAGGTAAATGATGATTTAATGATAGATTTTGTTTAGTTTTGGCCGAACTGTCACTTAATATACTTTAGTTTAAACAAAGAATGAATAAATATATTATAAATGTGAAATAAATGTCCTGATTTATAGGTTTGTTCTGCTTCCTTCACGAGCTCGGTCAGATTTAAAATGCTGTATTTGTTTAGAGTTATTTTTCAAATATGTATGTATGTATATATATATATATATATATATGAACTCAAGTTGTGATAGAAAAACAGCCATGAAAGAAGCCACATGACTGCAGAGACAGCGTTCTTAAACACAGACAAACAGACATGAAGGACAGGTGTACCAGCAGTGCGCAGCGCAGCTTTCACAGCAACAGGACATCATCTGATTTATATTCAGTTTTCAGCTAAATGACAAAATCTCCAGTATAAAAGGGTTTAATGCAATAATGTCCCGGATTTGTTGTAAGCAACATGTACAGGCTTTACAGTGTGTCAAGAGTATGATTAGCAGAATGTTCATAATCTATTTATAAACTCTCCATAAGCTGTAATCTCACTCTTCATAATGTCTGATCTCACTCTTCATAAGCACAAAAACAGCATGCTATTTAATGCAATAATTCTTAATTGTTTTTTATTGAATTTCTTTCAAATCATCAAGATTGTTTACATCTTTCACCTGCTGTTGATTTCACACACATTTCAGCATTTTTTGTTTTCAGTAAGTAGCAGAACAATCATGATCATGGCCAATAATTACCCATCGTAAAATCAAAACTAGTCACCGCAGTTTGTGCAGCTCTCATGCTGCCGTCAGTGGTGTTGCACCACAGAAACTTTTCACCATGGAAGGCACAGCGGTGATCGGGTTTGCAGGTCTTGCCGTTCAGAGCAGAGTAGCAGTCATCAACAATAGTCGTAACTGCCTTTGTCATCAGTGTAGCACCATGTATATGGTTTGCCATAATAGGCACAGGCATGATTGATGCGGCAGTACTGGCCGGTTTGGGTTTTGCTCTGCCACAGCGGAGGACTGCAGTAGCCCCAGCTTCCAGAGCTTTTATAGCACCAGTAGTAGCCGTAGCTGTATGTGGCACACGGGTGGTCATCTCTGCACCTTTCTCCATCAACTGTGATGAAGGAGTACAGCGGGGAGCAGTCTATCTGCTGCCGGCCCGAGGAACACCGGTAGCCTTTGACCTTGTCCACGTACAGACAGGGAGTGGAGCAGCAGAGCTTGGTTTCACCACCTACTGTACATTCACACTTGTTATTAGTTTCTGTGACGCTCGAGCAGAGAGAGCCGTCAGCCGCAGTCTTCTTCTGATCTGGGACCAGCATGCATTCAATCTCACGCGACGCCTCACGAGTCTGCCTTTTTCTGAGTTCATCATGCACCGTGCGCCTTACCGCTGCTGTGGTGTTAGTTATAGGACACGCGACACCAGCAGAGCGCTTCAGATCCTCTGTAACAATGAAATAATCTCTCTGAGTGTCGAAGGCTAGTTTTACTGTCATGACCACCACTCTGGGGATCTTCGTGGTTTGGATGTTTGAGGTGGCCATCCTTTTCAGTGCTCCAGCGGTTTTGGAAACGGCAGAGGTCATTTGGAAATGCTTCATGCCATGTTGAACAGCCAGCTGATTAATCAGTTTACTGAAGTGAGCCTGAAGCTGCTTTAATTTATCATCATCACCAAAACAGTCATCAACAAAGACTTTAATGGACGTGGACGCCCCTGAGAGGTCACTGTAGAGGTCACTGAGCTGGGCGTTCAGGGCGGAGACACTCTTCAGGGTGATGGTATTCACTGGCTGGTTATCTCCTATATATGCGAAGGAATATGACTTTCTGGGATCGCTTTGGTGTTTAAAACAGACCGCCGTCCAGATGTGAGAGGGCACCGTCACCCTGTTTGAGTTCTGAGGTTGTGGCCTTTGTGGTATCCGTAAATTGGCATTAGGTACTGTACCTGTGACAATATACGCCGTTCCATCTCGCTCTCGCTGTAGAAGCATCTTCAGCTTGTCCTCCCAGTTCTTCCACTGGACGCGGTTGAAACAGGCGTCCATCGGTGCAGCATTGGTCAGGGTGAACGTCGCATCTCGGGATTCATTGCATTGGAAGCCGTTGGGGTTCAGGTGTCCACGGTCGTATCCGGTGTCGCTGTAGTCAGGGTTGATGGCTTGATACTTTTTAATAGTGTTTAAGTCAAGCTGTGCCCTGAGGACACTCGGACGCACCATGTGATTGATCGCTATTTGAGGACTGGAAATCTACGGAGGGAATAATTTGCTTTAGTTAACGCCTCGCCACTTTTATTATTAATATTTTACATTTAGAGATCAGTAATTTAATGAAAGGCTCTGGTTTATCTGCTAATGAAAGTCGGTTACCTGTGGCTCCAAGTACCAGACGTCTGTCCTCCCGGCAATCTCTGAGCACTGAGGGTCGAATACGTATGCGCTGTAGAGGGGAATCCTGTGATGAGTGGAGTACAGCGTAGCAAAGTAAAAGTTTCTATTATTTTCCAGCATCTGACAGATTTTTTTAGCATTCTGATCCATTCCTGATGGTTCTGTTCTTTCATAGAAAAACTGCGGACACGCATTAAACTGAGACACCACCTTCGCCTGAGCACTGAACGCTGTGAGCGCGACACAGGTGAACAGAGCCAGAACACACATGGTGACGGAGTTATGAAGCAGAAACAGCAGCAGCGCAGCAGCTTTAAGCACACGGTCAGTGACGCTGCTGAGGGTGTGACTGAAATCAGCCTTCACTTTATCATGATGATCCGCCACAGCCACACCACCCCACAGCCCAGGACTGGTTACTCACTGAAGCTGAGCAGAGCCTGGCCAGTACCTGGATGAACACTAGGTTGCTGTTAGTGGTGTTAGTGAGGCCTGCAGGGGGCGCTCAACCTGTGATCTGTGTGAGTCTGAATGCCCCAGTAAAAGTGAAGGGGACTCTACACTGTCAGTGGAAGTCTTTTGAATGAGATGTTAAACAGGTCTTGACTCTCTGTGGTCAATAATAATCCCATGGCATTTCTGGTAGAGAGTAACCCCAGGTGTCCTGGCCAAACTCCCTCCATCAGCCCTTATCCATCATGGCCTCCCATCCACTGAATTGGCTCCATCTCTTCACTCCACCTATAGCTGGTGTGTGGTGAAGCGGTGGAGCTGCACACTGGTGGAGGTGTGGAGAGACCCCCTCATGATGGTGAAGTGCTTTAGGTGTAAGGCCATACACAACACATGTGCTATATACACACACATTACATTATGATTGTCACTGAGCCGTGTGAAGTGGAGAAAACTGCTCAGATTACTCTAATCGAGTAGAGTTCCCTCGGGGATTGTGCTGTACTGATCACACTGTTAGTGCTGTATGGTTGCCTGTAGTACACTGTTTTCCTTCAGCGTGTGGTCACTACTTTATATTGCATCATGAGAGAAAGTAATGAGGATTTACACTCAGATCTCCAATCTGTCCTGAGGAACTCTCCAAAACAATAAAGGCATAAGTAAATCTAGACTGAACACCTGAGAGAAAGCTGTTTCCCAGGTGTCAGGATCACCGGTCTCTCCGTCACCCGTCACTACTGAAGTTCAGGACACTCGTCCAGGCAGAATCTCCATCTACTTTATATGTAGTAGCTCTATTATTTTCCTCCTCGTGTTTGGGGTTATGTTGAATGTGTCCGTGTGAATGGTAAAGTGCTCTCAGTTTCACCTTCTTTTCTTCTTTCATGAGAATTCTCCACTGTTGGTCCTGGATATAGCCCTGATGCGAGCTGCTGCTCTTCTTCACCAGGGTAAACAGGGGCGCCCCCAAGGGGTGGCCAGGGGTGGCCACGGCCACCCCTCGGTAAACTCTGGCCACCCCTGTGGCCACCCCAATATAATTTTGCGGTTGACATTATTGATTTAAATGAACTTATAAATTCCCAATAAATAAATAAATAAATAAATAAAATGCAGTCACTAAATTATTGTTGGTGTTACTGACGTAGCTCTCCCCCTCTGGTTCAATGCTGGTGAAAGCAAACTGACGCATGCGCGCGGAAAACCATTCCCGCGCGCCTCACGCACTCCTGTGTGAATCCCGGTTGGTTGTTTGCATGCACGCCAATAAAATAGGCGCCGCTCATGCGCCGTGAAACCGGAGTAACAGCCTTTTGCACAGAGGTGTCGGCACGCAGCGAGTTTTGAAAGTCGACTAAAGTTTATATAATATGATGATGATGATGATGATGTTACTTTCACTAAGCATGCCTTTAAAGCAGAAAGGAGGGATAATGAGTCAGGGAGGTAAGACTTCATAACATGATTTCTCAGCCATGATCTGGTCTAAGACCACAGATAATTCTATAATACATTTTTTGTATTCTTTAGAATTGTCATAATTAATTTTCATGCAAAAGGTTTCTTAAGTGATCTTGGCATATCACTCCAGTTGTTTCCGGTAATATTTAGGACAAATCTAACAATTCAAGAGAGGTGGGGGTGTATAGGGTGGTTCGCCCAGGGTGTCATTTAAACTAGAACCACCACTACCTTCCCCGAAACAGCAATGGCTATTGAATATTTACCTTAAGCAACAGTATATCAATAGAAGAAGCTACATTAATAAAACGGCTCAAAAAGCAATATGGATAAATGATATTATTAGGTATATATGAGTGTGTGTATATAGTAATGCCTTTTGTTCAGTTTGTTCATTTGTTTGGGTAATTAATAAACTCATTATTCTTTCATTCATTTTCTTGTCGGCTTAGTCCCTTTATTAATCCAGGGTCACCACAGCAGAATGAACCGCCAACTTATCTAGCACATTTTTACACAGCGGATGCCCTTCCAGCTGCAACCCATCTCTGGGAATAATAAACTCTTTAACCTTCATTAATTTTAGACATGGCATATACCGTATGATGTACAATAAAAGCACGTAAAAAAAGAAGTTATTTATACAGTATATGAAAAGTGTTTTTAAAATAAACATAGATTTTTATTTGGTTTGCACATGTACTTGCTGAATTATTTCAAAGAATAAATTGCAATATTTCAAGAAGAATTAATTAAATGAATAAAAACTACATTATTTCATTTACCACAAACAAAAATATAACATTACACTGAATTCATTTTTTTTTATGTGCCACCCCAAGATTTGGTGCAGCCTCTTCTGGCCACCCCTAAGAAAATTTTCTGGGGGCGCCACTGAGGGTAAAACAGCAGGGTAAACATGGTTTAACGTGACCTTGTGTCCCAATGAAGGTTCTGAGGTAATAGTTCAAACAGATCTTCAGGAGGTCCTGGTTCGAGCCCCGGCTGGGTCAGTTGGCGTTTCTGTGTGGAGTTTGCATGTTCTCCCTGTGTTCGCATGGGTTTCCTCCAAGGTGCTCCGGTTTCCCCCAAAACTCCAAAGACATGCGGTACAGGTGAACTGGGTCAGCTAAATCGTCTGTAGTGTGTGTGTGTGTGTGTGTGTGTGTGTGTGTGTGTGTGTCTGTGTATGGATGTTTCCCAGTGATGAGTTGCACCTTGAAGGGCATCCGCTGTGTTTAACATATGCTAGATAAGTTGGCAGTTCATTCCGCTGTGGCAACCCCAGATTAATAGTCAAAATGAAGAGAGTTTCTTATAAAGCGAGCAGAGTAATCTGACAGCGTGGTCAGAAAGTGAATCTTGTCAAATGGAAACACAAGATTATTTTGCTCCCCCAGTTGGCAGATTACTCCGCTTCACAGATTCACTGCATTTTGACTCGTTATTTCTGAAAACAATATTCTTTTCTCGTCTAGACAATGCTTCATGATTTAAGAATATTTGGATATTTGAACTAGGAACAAGACAACGGTGTTCCAGTCCATTTGCTCTCCTGATTCAGTCCGAGTGGTCTCCCGGCGTTGCTGAAACTCATCCGTGAAGATTAGGAGAACACATGTAAATGCCCAGGTCAATGTTCTGATGGCGAGTGCTGCTTTAGAGATCTTTCTGAACCGCTCCATTCATAGCCTCAGCGATAGGAACTCAACTGAACACATCATTTAACTGCTATCAAAAGTCAACATTGACTGAGCTGGAGTATTCATGACTGTAAAACATCATATCTGTGGCTAAAATACGCATAAAGAGGAGCACCGGCTGATTAGTACATTTACATTTACATTTAGTCATTTAGCAGACGCTTTTATCCAAAGCGACTTACAAATGAGGACAAGGAAGCAATTTACACAACTAAGAGCAACAATGAATAAGTACTAAAGGCAAGTTTCAGGTCTGTAAAGTCTAAGAAGGGAAGTGTTAGTAGTTTTTTTTTTTTTTTTGTACAGTTAGTTAGTGTGATATTCAAAGAGGCAATTGCAGATTAGGAAGTGAAGTGGAGACACTTCAGTACAGTCATATAACATTACTGTAGTGTAAGTCAAATAATAAGCGAGTCAGAGATACATCAAGAGAGATATAAGCACCTATTCTGACACTGGATACTCACAAAACACACTGAAAATGAAGGACTGCAGGTTTAAGAGCTTTAGTGCACTTAAAGCTTAAATTAATACAAGCATCACTCAGATCCACCTTACCTTTGCTGCTTGTTCATTTAAAATGAGTTGAAGCAACACAATTTTTATTTATTAAATTATATTAGGCGGCACGGTGGCTCAGTGGTTAGCACTCTGGCCTCACAGCAATTGAGTTCGAGCCTCGACTGGGTCAGTTGGTGTTTCTGTGTGGAGTTTGCATGTTTTCCCAGTGTTGGTGTGGGTTTCCTCCGGGTGCTCCGGTTTCCCCCACAGTTTACTGTGTGAATATACACATGACATAACGGTTCATTGTGAATGCATAATCGCACCCATCAGTATTTGTTAAACTATTATTGATCAGTCTGAAACTGCAGATCTACAGCACCGACACACATCACACATATACACAGGACACTGTTAGAGTAAAATAGGAGTTTGTAACTATGTTTAATAGAGACACACATTTACATTCATTTACAAACTACTGAAACTGACCCCCCTCTTACCATGATATTCACACTACCCTGCTTTGAAGAAACACAAGACATGTGAATTGTGTTATTTCAGCTAGTAAATATTACCATTTTTATTTAGTTTCATTAATAAGAATAAAAGAATAATAAAAAAGGTCATACAGCGTACATTATTTACAGACCAATACAGCACACACGGCTTCTGATTTATATTCCTCTGAGCTTTAGCTAGAATAGTAACTGATCAGGGCTGCTGTTGTTTTTGGCTGTGTGATGATAAGTGTTAATACTGACAACACTTAATAACTAAGAAGAGATGGCTGTGAATGGATCCAGTATGTCCTGTATTTATAAATACCGCTGCTCTCTCTCTGCTGTCCTCTGGCGGCGCTCTTGAGCACGAGCTGAAGCGCGCGTCATCAGAGCGCGCCGGGCGTGAGCGAGGACGCGTGTACGCGCAGCAGCAGCACGTGCACAGCAGCAGAAATGGCGACTCAAGCAGCAGAAGTCATATTCGCGCAGAAACTCGCGGCCAACGAGAAGAGCGTGAGGAGCAAAGCCCTGCTGAAGCTCAGGAAATACATCCGCATCCGCTCCGAGAGAGCGCCAGGTAAAGAGGAGCGCACACACACACACACACGCTGACAAACACACACTGACATGCACGCGGAACACATACACACACTCCAATAACAGCGAAAAACACCATCAGAGAGTACGCTGCGAGAGAGCGCTAGATGAACACACACACACACTTATAGACACGCAAGACACACACTAACATACTGAAGACACGCTAAATGACTTCAGACACACACACACACACACACTGAAGACGCACACAGTAACTCCCCCAGGGCTCAGTCAGGGTTGTGTGTCTGCTGTGACTGTAGTGTTCATCATCAGTGCTGTAGTCACCCTATCAGCCTGATGGAGATGAGGAAGATGATGATGGTGAGTATCCACCTCACTACCACAGCTGAGGGGATTCCCTTGAGCAGGGCACTGAGCCCACAAAGTGCCTTCTCAATCCATAAATGCCGTGTAAAACTGAGGATGAAGATGTGGTAATGAGGAAGAGGATGGTGATGATGATGATGATGATGGTGATGTTGTGCTGTGTTACAGGAGGCTTCAGTGAGGAGGAGCTGCTGAAGATCTGGAAGGGTCTCTTCTACTGTCTGTGGATGCAGGATCTGCCTCTGCTGCAGGTAAACACACACACACACACACACACACACACACCCATATAATCTCTGCTCTCCATAATGTGTGTGTGTGTGTTTCAGGAGGAGCTGTCCACCAAGATCTCAGCGCTGCTCTTCAGCTTTCGCACCGTTGACAGTCGTGAGTTACACACACACGAACACACACTCTCTCTCTCTCTGTGTGTGTTGCAGTAATCCCCTTATACCTCTCTCTCTCTCTCTCTGCTCCTGCTGTGTGTTTCTAGAGTTTCTGTTCTTCAAGACGTTCCTGCAGACCATGAAGAGGGAGTGGAACGGCATCGACAGACTGAGACTGGACAAATTCTACCAGGTGTGTGTGTGTGTGTGTGTGAGTGATCTCCTGTAATGACTAAACATGATGGTGTCGGTGCTGAATCCTCTCTCCTGTTCTTCAGCTCGTGCGCTTCATCTTCCGCCAAATGTTTGAGATGCTGAAGAAGCAGGAGTGGGAGCCCAGGTACAGTGTGTGTATTTGTGTATTTGTGTGTGTGTGTGTGTGTGTGTGTGTGTGTGTGTGTGTGTGTGTGTGTGTGTGTGTGTGTTAATGTTGTCTTGATGCTGGAATGTCCACCTTGATCTGCTATGTTGAGTTGTTTTGATATTTGATGCTGTTCTCAGACCTGCAGGAGCAAACTCAGCTCTGATTAAAGTGTGCAGATCAAGTGAAAAGGGAAACGGCATCTAATGCTCGAGTCCTAGAGGCAATAAATGACAAATAAAACCCTAAATACAGTTCAGTGTGATCTTCTGATGAAGCAGAAGTGTGTTAAAGTCTGAATATTATTGTTATTCGGTCGTCTCCCTGCTGCTGAGCAGTGTGAGAGTAAAGCCAGTGGACTGACACTGAGCTGAAGCACCACTGTGGTGTTTTACATACATCTGTGTCTATGTTTGACAACACGTGTGTGTGTGTGTGTGTTGTGCTGACCTGTCTCCTGCTGCAGTGTGTTGCAGGAGTTCCTCCAGCTGTTCTCAGATCAGCTCCTGCAGAGCTCCAGCGCAGCTCCATCAGGACTCATAATGCACATCATGGAGCTCTACATGACGGAGCTGGCTGCAGTCGGAGCCGCAGAGGTACACACACACACACACACACACACACACACACACTCTTCAGCTATGTGTTTGGATGTTTAACAGAGTAGGCATGGAGCTACACACACTATTTTAAAAGAGTGGGCGTCTGCTGTGTTTCTAATGCTGTTGTACCTCTGCTGTGTGTGTGTGTGTGTGTGTGTGTGTGTGTGTGTGTGTCTCCAGCTTACTGCGGCGCAGAACCTGTCCCTGATAGAGCCCTTCTGCCGGACGATGTCCAGAACCAGAGAGTAAAGCGTCCTCTTCTGTTGTTCTCTCTTTCTCTCTCTCTCTCTGTGTGTGCGCATGTGTGTGTGTGACCTGTGTTCTCTCTGTGCGCAGTCGAGTCCTGCTAAAGGCCATCGGCAGCAGCATCTTCAGCACCATCGTGGACCAGGTGCCCTTCGCCATCGCGGACCTGCTGCGGGAGATCAGCACCACAGAAGAAGAAGACCAGGACGGAGAGACACAGACCAATGGTGATTCAGCACACACACACACACACACACACACACACACACACACACACACACACACTTACAGTCCAACATCATCAGCATCGCCTGTAATACACCGTTGTGTCCTGTGTTTAGTGTGTGTTTGTCTTTTGCCTTGATGAGTAATCTGCTGTTGGGTTATGTGTTCATCACACCTGGACTAATCACTCAGCTGTGTGTGTGCGTGTGCATGTGTGTGTTAATGTTATTGCTGTGGGTTTTAGAAGCAGAAACACACACACACACACACACACAGTTATTCATGTTTTTCTCTTCTCTGTGTTTTACTCTGGTCAGATGCTGAGGAGAACACTTCACATCCAGGAGAAGACCCGGGGGGTAAAGGCTCTGATGAAGCTGTTCTCCAGGTCTGTGTGTGTGTGTAGTTTGGTGCTGTACGTTGATAAATGTGTGTGTGATGTACTGATGTGCGAGTATGTGTATGTGTGTGTGATGTACTTATGTATGTGTGTGTGTGTGTGTGTGTGTGTGTGTGTGTGTGTGTGTGTGTGTGTGTGTGTTGTGTAGTTTGACTATGGAGCCGTTGCAGACAGACTCTTCGAGGTTGCCAGTCACTCAAACATCCCGAGCTTCAACCGCTCCCAGATCTACAAGTTTGTGAAAGTGTAAGTGCAGTGTGCGTGTGTGTGTGTGTGTGTGTGTGTATTGATACTGAAAGAGCAGTGTAGCGCAGATGATCAGTGTGGGGTTTGTGGTGTGATTGTTCTCCTTCTCTCTCTGCATGTGTGAAGATTTCGGGACCTGAGTGAAGGTAAACCCTGTTCAGTCCATCCTCAGATATGTGTGTGTGTGTGTGTGTGAGTGTATATGTGAGTGTGTGTTTCTGTGTCTGTGTTCAGGTGTGTTCCCTCAGGATGAGGTGGAGGACGTGTCGTCTGATGAAGATGAGTTTGATGATGACAGACGGAGGAAGAAGAAGAAGAAGAAGAGCAGCAGCAGACAGCAGGACTCGCTGAACACACACACAGGTCAGCCACATCCAGCAGGCGCGCGTCTCAGAATAACACACACAGTTCATCAGCAGCAGATGCAGGAGACTGAAGGGGTTATTCTGAGAAAACAACCCTCTGCATGAGCTTTATCCTGATTAATACACAGATACTGAACAGTAAACACACAAACACTAGAAGCTGAACACTGCTCTGAGCTGTTATAGGGATTTAGGCACACACACACACACACACACACACACACACACACACACAGAGCTGACCGACTGACCTGCGCATTATTCAGACACTAGAGGGCGCTACACAGTCAGAAACAGCAGCGCTGCAGGCCTGATGGGGATCCGCACTGCTCAGATGAGTGTGTGTCATTCACTGCTGGATATCTGGGGATGAGAGCGTCACATGTCTAATCATTTACACCTGTGTTTACTGTACACTAGCTAGAGTTCCTGACCCCTCATATTGTAGATATTCACAGCTATATCTCAGCCGAACACTGTCCAATACTAGTTAAGTAGACCTCAGTGGACGATGAGTCGACTCGGCTGTCATATAGACTGTACACATCTCCAATGCCCGGTTCAGTAGTGCAGGTCAGGAGACTGATGGAGATCTGATGTCCACAGGTGAAGCAGAGACCAGCACACCTGCAGACGACAAACCCAAGAACAAGAAGAGGAGGAAGAAGAAGAAGAAGAGCGGCTTGAAGAGTGTGGAGGAGCCGGAGAACTGCGCTGCACCACAGACTCCAGCAGAAGACCAGAAGAAGAAGAAGAAGACACAACAACACACCGAGACTGCAGACGGAGGACAGCAGCGCTCAGAAGCACACACCACCCCCGCACTGATGGAGGACGATGGAGGAGCTCCTGCAGAGAAACCACAGAAGAAGAAGAAGAGGAAGATGCAGACGCCAGCTAAAGCAGACCAACACACACTGATGAAGAGGAGGAAGAAGAGTCTGCACACACACACCAATGGAGACACTCCGATAGAGGAGACCACCGCGGAGAAACCACAGAAGAAGAAGAAGAATATTCAGAAACCGCTGAACGGACACACACAGCTGACCACAGAGAAACCACAGAAGAAGAAGAAGAAGAATATTCAGAAACTGCTGAACGGACACACACAGAAACCACAGAAGAAGAAGAAGATGATGATGATGCAGATCACAGACACACAGCTGACCACCGAGAAACCACAGAAGAAGAAGATGAGCCAGAAGCGGGCCGCAGCGGCGCTGGTGAACGGACACACGGTAAGGCTGCAGAGCACCGCTGATCACACGCTTATTCACACGCTGGCAGATGCAGACTGGGTGACTCCTGTTCAAGCAGACAGATTCCAGTATATCCAGTAGGACTGGCCGATACTGCAAATACCTGATCAGGATATGATGCTTCATATCAGTCGCCATCAATAATTATTGAGTATTGTTATTTGCAGGGTGTCAAAGTATTAAAAGTTGAAGAATCAATTATGAGGAAATGAAAGCCCTTAAAGATATTAAACTCTTAATGCTGTTTATAGGAGGTCTCATGCTGCGTTCACACCAGATGCAGAACGCACGTCAAGCGCGAGTGATTTACATGTTTAGTCAATGCAAACGTGCGAATAGACATCCTGCGGTGCGATACGGTGCAAACTGAGCGTTTTGTGTGTTTGACGTTTTGCATGAATCTCTCGAGTTCGAAAATCTGAACTTCAGCGTACATTCGCGCCACGTTAACCAACCAGAAGCTTGCTCTTGTGGGGGCGTGATTGTGACGTAGAACCTGTTGTCGGTGTTCCGGGGGAAATCCTCCAGCCTTCACCGACAACAGTTCATCAAACTGGGCTGGGCTCAGTCAGAAGCACCGCTGAAAGCCTCCGTCATCCAGGTTCAGTTTCTGGAGGAGTTGATGAGCTCAGAGCTGCTGCACCTCTGAAAGCATGTAGTGGACTCAGACACGGCTCTAAACGTATCGACGCTGTTTATCATCCTTCATAAAGCACATCAACACTGTTATTTTCCTCATAAAATCCATGTTATTTTCATGCCATTTAGCTATGAAGCTAGAGTCACGGGGCAGACAGAAGCCCTGCCCATCACACGAATCCACGTCTGTTCTGATGTGAATTTGACGCGGGAATGAAGCGAGTAACCTCCAAATGTTCACGCGGCTATTTACGCACAAATAGCGCAATTTATCCGTGTGTTCCGCGTCTGGTGTGAACACAGCATTAAGCGTCCAAAGAGTTTGACTCCAAAACAGCAGAAATATATTGATTTTTCCCTGAGATTACCAACGGCGTGCTCAATCCACACCACCGGGTGATGTCAGGTGATTCGTGACAAACGCAGGAAGGAGATGTGACGCTCTCCACATGTAGCCAAACCACAGAGCGAAACAGACGCAAAACAAAGCTGTACGTTTGTGAACTCCTGGTTGGAGGAAGACGAGTTTAACAGCAGCTGAAAGCTGAAAACAGACCGCTCATCTATTCTCTCAAGCCTAGTTTCAGAATCCAGCGCCCGGCTCAGCTGCAGTATACAGGACGGGATCTTCTCGCTTGATGTTTATTACATGATTATGATTAATGTTCAGCACGATCAGCAGCGAGAGCTGAGGCTCCTGTACATGTGAACACAGAAGAGCTCTGTTCCACTCCCGCATTCTCTCTCTCTCTACAGGAAGCTGAAGATCCAGCACTTCCTGTCAGCACAGACCGGAAGATGAAGAAGAAGTTTGTGCTGAGCCAGAAGAAAGCTCCAGCGCCGCTCTTCTGTAAAGGGCTTAAAAACACACGGGTACACACACACACACACACACACACACACACACACACACACACACACACTCAAACAGCTCATTCATCAGTGTCTGTAGGCCTACAGGATGACTTTAATAGAGCATTGTGGGCTTTTTTAGGCACAAACACATCCCTTTAGTAGCCGAGCCAGCTTCAGTACAGGTTCTGTATGATGATAGACAGGCCAATCTTGTTTTGTTTTTTTAATTAATAATTTCAGTGAGTCCTGCAGGCGTTTGACAGATAATGTGTGGTTGATTTGATGATTTGCTGACAACTTTTTTTATTTGATGCCAAATTAATTAAACAGCAGGTCTGCTCACGCCAGAGGATGAAGAAAGCTGAACTCTGTCCTGAAGACAGTCCGCTATAAATGTACAACTAAATAAAGCATCCACCATGAGCTTAATGTAACTGTGCTGACATTGATGATGACTGAATATTAATCAGATGATGTCATTCTGCTGCTGCGCCGTCAGCCAATCACTGCAGTGCTGATCATGACCACAGCACACACACAGATCTCAGATCAGCTCTTGCAGAGATTTTAATCTGATTCACCAACATGTTTGAAGATTCAGATTAGGCCGAGATCAGTTATCAAGATGAACAGATCCAGGATCTGCCAAACAGCTTGGATGATTTAAGCGTGGTTTGCAGAACTGACCCCAGATCTGCTGGGCTGACAGCACACACAGCTTTATATTACCCTCCGCTGAGCTTATTGACTAATGATGTAATATTCTCTTCTCCTGTGTGCAGATCTCAGCCGCTGCCAAGACCGACAGGAAGAAAGTCACGTTCGGCCTCAAGAACAACAAAACTGTGGGTACGTGCTTCACTAGACCCCAGTGTTCAGCTTACAGAGACGTGTACAGGCTTCACTAGGGTAATCAGGGTACAGTTAGGGTAATTGTATAACAGTGGTTTGTCTAAAACATATTGACTGATAAAATTGACATTAGAATTGAATTAAAAAAATGAAGAACTGCTTTTATTCCAGCCAAACTAAAAGAGATCAGACTTTCTCCAGAAGAAAATTATATTAAGAAAATGATTAAATATATAGAATAACACCTGTTCAGAGAACATTACAGGAGATACAGTCTGCAGAAACACTGTGATTGACACAGAGGGGGAAAGCCCCGCCCACTAGTGCCCATCTCTCCATCTCATTAGCATATTCAGCAGCCCTGAGTGAGCAGCAGCCGTCTGTCCATTAACCATTAGAGTGTTTGACTTCATGTTTAAGATCACAGTCCAAAAACTACTATAATATTAAATACAAAATAATAAATACAGTCCTGATGAACAGGAAATAGTTCCAGAGAAACAAGAATTTAATTGGAATTTTTTAGTTTATAATGAAATTTTCCCAAATAGCAGTTTTGATGGTAAATGTCTGATCCCTCTCTCTCTCTTCCTGCAGCTGTTCAGTGAGCAGACTCTTATGTTATTGAATATAGTGTTTAATAAAACTGTTTTGTTTAAATACACAAATCATCATCTGTACTGACTGAGAAATGGATAAACATACTCACTTATGCTGAGCTCTGTGTGTGTGTGTGTGCGTGCATGCATGCATATACACACACACATACATATATATATATATATATATATATATATATATATATATATATATGAGTGGCAGTGCAGTGTATTTGCGTTCTGCTCTGCATCTGCGGTCATGTTTCTGAATGATTAAATAAAGGAGACCTGCTGAACATCATCTGATGACGAGTGTTTCTCCACAGAGTTCAGGAAGACGGACCGCAGCGCTCTGCTCAGTCCCGACCGTCTGCCCTTTGACCCCAGCCGGACGCCCAAATCTGGGGTGCTGAAGACACCGTCTCCCTCCGCCATGAAGAGGCCCTCGGCTGCAGACTTCTTTTGAATAAAGAGTGTGTGTGTGTGTGTGTGTGATGTCTGCACTATAGAGCGTGCGCACACACACATTTTATACTCCTGTTTTCCCGCCCTCAGAGTTCTGCTTTATTTTTAGCATGGCTTAATTTCAGACTGTTTTGAATATTCATGAGTTCCTCCTCCAATGGGAGAGCAGAGAGGATTATTATGAGATGTAAGTACAGGAAGTCGTGCTCTGGACGGAGCGTCTGTAAACTAAAAACTGAAGTGTGTGAGAATAAACCTCCGAGATGTTCTTCAGCCCGGTGTGCTAATCTCAGTCATGTTCATCAACACTGTGTATGAAATCTGCGCTGCTGCAGTAGGGTCCGCATTGAGCTGAGTTTACCACAGTAGGACAGTGTTCTCTATATGAAGGGTGTCTGCAGGGTCTTAAAGCATTAAGTAAATCAATTTAGAGAAATTTAAGGCCCTTTACGTTTTAAATGCTAATTTACAATGTTTAATTGTATGCTGAAGCTTTACATTTTGTATTTTATCTGTGAATATTGAGCTGCTCGTGTCAGTGGCGTCACTTCACTGTCCTCCCTGCTGCAAAATCCAGCTTAAACCAGCCTAGGCTGGTTGGCTGGTTTTAGCTGGTCGACCAGGCTGGTTTTAGAGGGTTTTGGCCATTTCCAGGCTGGTCTTAGCTGGTCAGGCTGGAAAATGACCAGCCAAATCCAGCTAAAACCAGCTTGACTAGCCTGGTGTAAGCTGGATATAGCTTGTTTTGGCTGGACTCCCAGCTTGGCTAGGCTGATCAAGCTGGTTTTAGCTGGTCATCTCCCAGCCTGACCAGCTAAGACCAGGCTGGAAATGGCCAAAATTCCTCTAAAACCAGCCAACCAGCCTAGGCTGGTTTAAGCTGGATTTTTCAGCAGGGCTTCATGACTTCTCCATGCATCATCATGGGATAGCGCAGTGTTCATTGGCTGAGCGCTACAGAATCGTGCCAGAAGCAGGAGGTCATCCGGGCGCTTCTCTCATACGGTTTACAATACTGTGAGTTTAGACACACTACTCAGCTCACATACTGTTTTTGTCGCCTACTATATAGTGAGGAAGTCAGTGATTTTGGACACAGTCTTTTCTGTTGAGAGAATCAAAACCTCAGTTCAGTTCATCTTTATTTCTATAGTTCTGACTGAATAATATATACTGTGTGTGAAATCGCCCCATACACCCTTATTCACTATTCCCTACAGTAGTCCACCGGGAGGAGTGAGTGAACTGGAGCGATGTGTGTTTGTGTGCTGAATCCCTCAGATGGATTATATTTTCATCTTCTCGCTCAGACCCTGTGACTGATATATATTAGTAATGAAACCAAGGCTTGAGGTATGGGTCATGTGCACAGAGGTTTCTTTATTATTCCGGACAGACACACGAATAGCAGTGTGCTTTAAACGCCATCTAGTGGTCTGAGGAAATTCATTGGGTGCATAAACAGTGCGTTATGGGTGTTCACTAGCTGTTGAGTGTACTCGTTATTGTGGTGCGTTGTGGGATTGATCGAGTCCACTTCATTGTGTCCACTGTAGTTTTAGACAGCACTAGAAATGGCTGCTCCCTCAGTTATAATAGTGTTATCTTCTGAGACCTTCCTGAGCCAGAGCTCCACATGCCGTATCTACAGGTGAATGACAGTGTCCAGCAGTGTGTGCTGCTTTCAGTCTCATTAGCTCAGTAAACGAGTGTGATTAGACTATAATCCCCTTTTCCTTGTCTTCATGTGTTCAGAGTAATGAGAAATGTCCAGCATCGCAGGAATGTAAGCCAGAGCTCAACACTCTTCAGTTCAGCTGTTTTGAGTCTAATTAAAGTAAATAGCAGGAAGCTTTTAAAGAAGGTAACTCAAACACTGTTATTTAATTGTATAAATTGCTGCTTTACTCTTTTCTTCATAGAGAAAAGTGATAACTTGCTCAATTTGTAATGCCTTTGACTAAAAATAGTCATGAATATTAATGTTGATCACGTCTCTGCCTGCTGCTCTGTTCATCATGCCGGCATGTAAATCTACATTCCACTATGATGCTGAAATACTTCTGTGACAATCTGTGAAACTGTTCTCAGAGCAGTGAGAAGCTCTTCAGAGAAGTGTGACCTGTTGAGGTCAGTATCAGAATAATAGTCCTGAATGAGTAACCAGACTCCAGGAATCATTAAGAGCTGAACTCTGCCACACACAGAGACCGTTCAGCTGAACATCTCCTATCCAGAACTCACACTCCGCAGCGTCAGAGAGAGTGAGACCCCAT